CTGCCACTGTCTCCGATTTTGGCCACAATGAGCAACTCCGTTGCTCCCACCCAGCCCTCCGCTGCTCCCGGGGAGCAGTCAGACAGCTCCCTGGAGCCTTCCTGGGACCGAAAGAGGCATGTGCCTTCCTGGTCTGGTGCGGAGATCCTGGACCTTATTGAGATTTGGGGTGACGAGACCAACCTCCAGGATCTCCGCACCAGACACAGGAATGTGGACGGCCACGAGCCTGGCCAACCTTCAGGATCTCTGCACCAGATGCCAGAACGTCAATATCTATGGCCATGTGGCTGACAGCCTGGCCAACAAGGGGCACATCCACATCCAGGAGCAGGTGCAAATGAAAGTAAAGGAGCTCTTCCAGGCATATCTCAGGGCTTGGGTGCTCAGGTCCCACTCCAGGGCAGAAACCCACAGAAACCCCTAATATGAGGACTTGCACTGCATACTAAGGGGCAGGGCAGTCCCTTTCCCCCACCTTGGTAGTGGACTCAGGGCTCAAGATGCCCAGTGTCGTCCTTGTGGGGGACAGAGATGAGGATGAAGAGGTGAGGAGGAGGAGAAGCTGGACGAGGCCAGCAATATCACCCTTCTGACCCTAAAGCTGGTACCCCCTCACTGTGGAAGTGTCCCAGGTGTCGTCCGAGGCTGGGGAAGGAACATCATGTGAGTGCCATCACCTTCCCTTCACACAGAGGGTGGAGGTTGCGGGTGTCATGGGGTAGCTGGACACTCCTCACTCAGCCCTTGCTTCCTGGGGATCGTGCAGCAGCCTGTGCACATGGGAGCACATGCCATGCTGCTCCTGGCCATACAGCACCAGGAGGATGCCACAGAGGACCCCGGTGCTATTGGCCACCGGGTGTCTGGAGAGGCTTGCCATGCTCATGACACCAGGGTGGGACACCCTCCCTCCACAAGCCACCTCTAGAAGGAGGCTGGGACATTGACACACACACACACACTCCGCAGTCCTGCACACAGGCATGCCTGCACTCTTGGGGCAGGCAGCATCTAATCCTGCGGACAGTGCAGTGAGGTGCAGGAGCATCTGCTGCTCACACACACCTCCCCCCAACCCCAAGCCCCCTTCTTCTCAAGCAGGTAGGGATACAAGTCCTCTCCCTGCTGGATGCAGCCACAGTTGGGCCCATCATGTGAGTGACACAGAGGGAAGCCCAGCTGCCCCAAGTCCCCCTTCCCGCTCACAGGATCCTGGTCTGGTCGGCACCTTCACATGCCTGCTTGTCCCCAGGATGAAGGGATGGTGAGGCTCTCTCCCTCCCGGGGACATCTGGGCCCCTGTAGGAAAGGGCCCATTGGCCAGTGCACATATGGCCTTGCTCCAAGCACGTCTCCTTTGACTGAGCCAAGAACCGTCACTCTTGCCTCACAGGTGAGGGCAAGGCTTTAGGCACAGTGTCCCCTGTGATGACTCACCATCTCTCTTTATTCTCCACAGCCAATCCAGCTGCAAGAGGTGGGTGGTTGACACCACCTGGGACAGCCTCTTGAACCTGAGGGACCCACAGGTGCAGGAGACCCATGGATGGTTTCGGGAGGGCATGCTGATCCCTGGAGCAGACCATTGACTGCAGGCTCCAGGAAGACATCCAGCTGTGGTGAGACACCTGGCGGGAGCTGCTGGAGCAGGGACGCACTGTGTGTGGCCATGCAATCCCTCATTGACAGCATGATGCCTGTTTCTGCTCCTGCTCTCGCTACCCTGGCTGCTGTGCCCCCCACACCTATGACGGTGGGATCATCACAGCCAGGCGCCACTCCCAGCCCCAGTCCTGAGCCTCTCCTCATGCCTCTTCCCCTTCCAACTCCTTCCTCCCCTCTCCAAGGTTCTCATCCCCCCTCCTGCCCCTCTCTCCTCCCCTCTCCCAGGTTCTTTCCCCAGTACCTCCCCAGTTACTTTGACCCCAAATGAAAAGAAACCGAGATTTTTTTTTAAATAAACTGTCTTTTTTATTGTCTCACCAGGGAAGAGGGTGGAGGGGGGAAGGGAAGGGTGTGGGAGGAAGGGCAGTGAGGGGTGATGCACAGGCCCCTAATGAGGAGGCCCATGGGAGAGTGTCACTGGGGCCCCTGTGAGAAACTGTCCCTCAGAGCTTCCCAGATGAGCATGGCCCCCGATGGGCCTGCCGGATGGCAGCTGTGTGCAGCTGCTCAAAGGCCCTGCCAATGCAGTCAGCTTCTACCCCCCCCCCCCCCCCCCCCCCACAACAC